AGACACTAGGCTCCTCTTAACGCAGGCCAAAATCCCATTGGCTTTTTTTGCCGCCACATCACTTTCCTGGCTCATGTTTGTCTTGTTGTCCACGAGGACTCCAAGCCTTTGATTGCTCAAGGTCATCACCTTTTGTTCCAAAAGATATTGGTTATTTAATAGGTATTGTTATTCATTATTATAATACCAATACTTATATATTGATATATATTTAATAAAAATTTAAATTCATTATTTAATCAGTATTGATATTTATTAATTATTTAGTTAGTTATAATAAATATTGCAATTAGTTATTTAATAAGCATTGATATTTGTTATTATTTAGTTATAATGCATTTCCTTTGACCAGAAGGAGCTGGCTTCTGACACAATAAATTCTAAAAAAGTTATAATATATATTGGAATTCATTTTTTAATTATTGATATTAGTTATTTAGTTATAATAAATATTGATATTGGTTATAATGAATATCGGTATCAATTATTTAATAAGTATTGATATTAATTATTTAGTTAGTTATAATAAATATAAGTTATAATATATATTGGAATTCATTATTTAATTATTGATATTAGTTATTTAGTTATAATAAATATTGATATTGGTTACAATGAATATTGGTATCAATTATTTAATATGGATTGATATTCGTTATTAGCCATAATAAATATTGGAATACATTATTTAATAAGTATTGATATTAGTTATTAGTTATTTATAATAAATATTGGTATGTGTTATTTAATCATTATTTGAGTAATAATACATATTGATATTGATTATGTAGTTATAATGAATCTTGGTATCTGCTATTTAATAAGTATTGATATGTATTAGTAGTCATAATACATGTTGGAATAAGTCATTTAACAAATATTGATATTAGTTATTTATAATAAATATTGGTATGTGTGAATTAAAAGGTATTAATATCAGTTATTATTGAGTATTGATATACAAATTGATATTGGTTATTTAGTTATAATGAATATTGATATTGGTTATAATGAATATTGGTATTAATTATTTAATAAGGATCAATATTCATTATTAGCCATAATAAATATTAGAATAAGTTATTTAATAAGTATTAATATTTGTTAGTTGTCATAATAAATATTGGAATACGTTGTTTAATAAGTATTGATATTAGTTATTTATAATAAATATTGGTATGTGTTATTTAACCATTATTTGAGTAATAATACATATTGATATTGATTAAGTAGTTATAATGAATCTTGGTAATAAGTATTGATATGTATTAATAGTCATAATAAATGTTGGAATAAGTTATTTAATAAATATTGATATTAGTTATTTATAATGTGTTAATTAATAAGTATTGATATCAGTTATTACTGAATAATAATATATATTGATATTGATTATTTAGTTATAAGAAATATTTGAATTAGTTATATATACTAGTTATTATTTAGTTATAATTAGTTATTATTGTGTTTATAAATAATGAATTATTATTTAGTTATAATATATTGATAACTATTATTTATTGATATTAGTTATTATTTACTTATTATATATATAGTTATAATATAACTATAATATAATATATAGTTTCCTGTCTGGAATTATTTAGTTATAATATATTGATAACTATTATTTATTGATATTAGTTATTATTTACTTATTATATATATATATATATATATATATATACACACACATATATTAGTTATTTATAATAAATATTGGTATGTGTTATTTAATCATTATTTGAGTAATAATGCATATTGATATTATTTAGTTATAATGAATCTTGGTATCTGCTATTTAATAAGTATTGATATGTATTAGTAGTCATAATACATGTTGGAATAAGTTATTTAATAAATATTCATATTAGTTATTTATAATAAATATTGGTATGTGTTAATTAATAAGTAGTGATATCAGTTATTACTGAGTAATAATGCATATTGATATTGATTATTTAGTTATAATGAATATTGGTGTCAGTTATTTGATAAATATTGATATTGGTTATTATTTATTTATAAGAAATATTTGAATTAGTTATATATACTAGTTATTATTTAGTTATAATTAGTTATTATTGTGTTTATAAATAATGAGTTATTATTTAGTTATAATATATTGATAACTAATATTTATTGATATTATTTATTATTTATTATTTAATTATAATATATATATATATATATATATATATATATATATATATAAACAATATAATAGAATATATAAAATCCATTGTAGTTATAATAAATATATTGATATAATATATTGATATTAGGTATTATTTCGTTATAATAAATATATTATATTGATATATATTATATATTTATAATCAATATTTATTTATTGATTTATTTGTTGTGTCAGGACAACCAGTCAAATTATATTACATTTCTAACAGAACTAAAACAAACAAACAGACAAAACATAAAATTTGTGAGTTTTGTAGTTGATTAAATGTCCTTTGACCAATATCTGGCCAATAATCAATATATAATCAATATAAAATAATAAACATATTATATTATATTGATTATATATTGATTATTGGCCAGATACTGGTCAAAGGACATTTAATCAACTACCAAACTCACACATTTTGTATTTTGTCTGTTTGTTAATATATATAATCAATATAATATAATATAATATAATATAATATAATATGATATGATATGATATAATATATTGATTTTAGCTGTTATTTAGCTACAAAAAGTATTGGTATGAGTTATTTAATACCTATCGATATTAGCTATAGTTATAATAAATATTGGTTCGAGTTATGTAACAAGCCTGGAGGCCCCGCCCTTCGGCCAGAGTGAACCCTCTAGCATCCTGGGATCTGTAGTTCGCCACTGATGCTGAGGCTGCCGCCGCTCGCCCCGCCCTAGGGTTCCCGTGGCTTTGTTGCGGAATGGTCGCGCTATAAGAGGAGAGGAAGGCGTGATTCAGGGGGAGGCGAGAGAAGAACAAAGGCGGAGGAAGAAGAAGGAAAAAGAGGAGGAAAAAGGAGGAGGAGAAGCAGGTGGAGGAGGAAGAGAAGAGAAAAGGAGAGAAAGGAGGAGAAGGATAAGGAGGAGAAAGAAAGAGGAGGCGGAGGAAAGGGAGGAGGAAGAGAAGGGGAAGCAGGAGGAGGAGAAGAAAGAGGAAGGAGGAAAAGGAGGAGGAAAAGAAAGAGGAGGAGAAGGAGGAGAAAAGAGGAGGAAAAGAAGGAGAGGAAAAAGGGAGAAAGGGAGGAGGAAGAGAAGGAAGGGAGAAGGAGAGAGAGGAGGAGAGAAGAGAGGGAAAAGAAAGGGAGGGGAAAAAAGGGGAGGAAAAGGAGGAGAAAGAGGAAAAGGAGAAGGGAGAGGAGGAAAAGGAGGAAGGGGAGAGAGGAGGGAGGGAGAAAGGGAGAAGAGGAGAAGGAGGGAAAAGAGGAGGAGGAGGAAAGGAGGAGAGGAAGAGGAGAACAAGGAGGAGGAGAAAGAAGAGGAGAAGGAGGAGGCAAAGGAAAGGGAGGAGGGAAAAAGGCGGAGGAAAGGGAGGAGAAAGAGTAAGGAGGAGAGGAGGAGGGGAAGCAAGAGGAGGAGGAGGAGGAGGAAAAGGAGAAGGAGGAGGAGGCCCTACGTTGTGTCCTTCTTGGGCTTGACTAGCCCAGGAGCCTCAGCATCTTCACCTTCCTTCCTTCCTTCCTTCCTTCCTTCCTTCCTTCCTTCCTTCCTTCCTTCCTTCCTTCCTTCCTTTCTTCCTTCCTCCCTCTGCTCTGCCCAGGAGCCTCCCTGGGGCCATTCATTCTTCTCCGTCCTCCTCTTCCTCTTCCTCTTCCCCTTCCTCTGGGCCATGGGCCACCCTCCCTTGGAGTTCGTGGACTGCTGGCCGGACAGCCCCGACTTCCGCGAGCGGCTCAAGTGCTACGAGCAGGAGCTGGAGAGGACCAACAAGTGCCTCAAGGAGGTCATCAAGGACGGGAGCGCCCTCATCGGAGCCATCCGCAGTGAGTGCCCACTCAGGGGACAGCCAGCCAGCCAGCCCAGCCCCCTCCTCCCCTCTGCCAGCCCCCTCACACACAGACATGGCTTCTTAGTGCAGGGGGGGGGCACACACCCCCATCCCTCTGTCCTTCAAAGGCCTCTTTGGACCCAGGCACAGAGAACCTGCGGATACAGGGGGACAAGGATGACACCTTTGTCACACTATTGCATACAATCCATAGATACAGATGGACAAAGATGACACCATAGTCACAGAATGATATGGAATCTGTGGATACAGGGGGACAAGGATGACACTATGTCACACTATGACACAGAAACCATGGATAAAGGGGGACAAGGATGACACCTTTGTCACACTATGACATACAATCTGTGGATACAGGGGGGCAAGGGCGACACTGTCACGCTATGGCACAGAATATGTGGATAAAGGGGGACAAGGATGATACCTTTGCCACAGTGTAATATGGAATCTGTGGATACAGGGGGACAAGGATAACATTATGTCACAATATGACACAGAAACCGTGGATAAAGGGGGACAAGGATGGTACTATGTCACACTATGACATGGAATCTGTGGATAAAGGGGGACAAGGATGACACTATGTCACATTGTGGCACAAAATCTGTGGATACAGGGTGACAAGGATGACACCTTTGTCACACTACGGCATGGAATCTGTAGATACAGGGGGACAAGCATAGCACTATGTCACACTATGACACAGAATCCGTGGATACAGGGGGACAAGGATGACATGATGTCACACTATGGCATGGAATCTGTAGATACAAGAGAACAAGCATAGCACGATGTCACACTATGACATGTAATCCATGGATACAGGAGGACAAGGATGACACCTTTGTTACATTATGACACGGAATCCATACATACAAGGGGACAAAGATGGTACTATGTCATACTATGACGCAGAATCCGTGGATACGGGAGGACAAGGATAACATGATGTCACACTTTGACATGGAATCTGTGAATACAGTGGGACAAGGATGACACTGTATCACACTAGGATTTGTATGATATGTCTTTTGTAAGATGCCTTCACTGTGTCTGGTTGTGATCCCCAGGTTGTGCCAGTCAGCTTTCGTACAGTATTATTTCTAGCACCCACTTTTGCTTGATAGTCAAGCAGTGCTTCTTGTAACTCAGAGAAAGGTCCAGAGTGACTCCCAGGTATTTGGGTGCGCTGCAATGCTCTAGTGCAGTGGTTCCCAGCCTGTGGTCCGCGGACTACCAGTGGTCCATAAGAACTAAAATATGCTCCACGGCCTCACCATTACTACACCGTTGCAACAAGAGCGACTGGTCTCACAAAACCCTCCTCTAGCACTGAGGCTTATTAAATATGGCTTTCTCTGGGCAAGCAGATGGCAACTACAGGATGGTGTATGTTCTGTATCAAAAACTGGAGCTGATGTGGTCTACTCAATGCAGTTTTCTGAATCAGCACCCCAAATAACCAAACCCAATGTAAAGTTGACCAAAAAAGATTCGTAACCCTTCTGGTACTAATGTTGGAGAGTGGTCCCTGGTCAAAAAAGGGTTAGGAACCACTGCTCCAGTAGGATTCCTTCTCAGGTGATCCTCGGAGCTCGAGATGGTTGTTGGGAGGTGTTAGCTGGCCCTGATTGTTTCCTGTCTCGAATTCCCTGTGTTCTGAGTGTTGCTCTTTATTTACTGCTCTGATTTTTTAAAAGACCTCTAGCCAGATGTTCATTTCCATGGTTTCCTCCTTTCTGTTGACATTGTCCACGTGCTTCTTGTGGGCTTCAATGGCTTCTCTGTATGGCCTGACATGGTGGTTGTGAGAGTGGTCCAGCATTTCCGTGTTCTCCAATACTCTGCTGTGTGCAGGTTGGTTCCTCAGGTGCTCTGCTATGGCTGACTTCTCTGGTTGAAGTAGTCTGCAGTGCCTTTCGTGTTCCTTGATTTGTGTTTGGGCAATGCTGCTGCGTTTGGGGGTCCCTTTGGAGACTTATTATTGTTCTGTTTACTTATACCCCATTTTCTCTCTCCACGAAGGAGACTCAAAGCAACGTACATTAAAAGCACAATTTTAAATTTTTGAACATAGAAGTTTTTCACCAGCTTTCAGAAAGAAGGACAGCAAGGTATCTTCTGTTGCACTCCAGACAAGGAAGCCCTCTGACTTTAACACCACATAGCTGAGTAAAATACAAGCAGTTTATTGAAGATATTTAAAAGCAGCAGCAGTAAAAAGCAATCCACAAAAATAGGTAAATCCAATTTATTTATTTGTCGTGTCAGGACAACCAGTCAAATTATATTACATTTCTAACAGAACAAAGCAAACAAACAGACAAAATACAAAATGTGTGAGTTTGGTAGTTGATTAAATGTCCTTTGACCAGTATCTGGCCACTTGGAGTGCCTCTGGTGTTGCCGCAAGAAGGTCCTCCATTGTGCATGTGGCAGGGCTCAGGTTGCATTGCAGCAGGTGGTCAGTGGTTTGCTCTTCTCCACACTCGCATGTCGAGGATTCCACTTTGTGGCCCCATTTCTCTGCATCTCGTGGTGCCAGAGCGCAGTCTGTTCAGCGCCTTCCTTCCAAGTCGCCCAGTCCTCTGTGTGCCCAGGGGGGAGTCTCTCATTTGGTATCAGCCATTGGTTGAGGTTCTGGGTTTGAGCCTGCCACTTTTGGACTCTCGCTTGCTGAGGTGTTCCAGCGAGTGTCTCTGTAGATCTTAGAAAACTGTTTCTAGATTTAAGTCGTTGACGTGCTGGCTGATACCCAAACAGGGGATGAGCTGGAGATGTCTCTGCCTTGGTCCTTTCACTATTGGCTGCTACTTCCCGGCAGATGTCAGGGGGTGCAATACCTGAACAGCAAACAAAAAGTGGGTGCTAGAAACAATATCATACGAAAGCTGACTGGCAAAACCTGGGGATCACAACCAGATACAGTGAAGACATCTGCCCTTGCGCTATGCTACTCTGCTGCTGAGTATGCATGCCCAGTGTGGAACACATCTCACCACGCTAAAACAGTGGATGTGGCTCTTAATGAGACATGCCGCATTATCATGGGGTGTCTGCGCCCTACACCACTGGAGAAATTACTCTGCTTAGCGGGTAAATCCAATTAGGTAGAAAGATAGATAGGAACAAATAGTGCAGGAAATTAGTCCATCAAAGTTCATGAAAACAAATACTCGAACTTCCAAGGTAAACCCCCAAAACTTGACCATGAATCAAACAAGGAACTTCAGCGTGGAAATTACAAGGCACTTAACACAGGACTCTATACAAGGCAAGGCTTCCAGGGACCTTGACTTAGTTCCAACATTGCTTCGTCTGGCTACAGATTCTGTACTTGGCACTTTTATCCCCTAATCTACTCTATATCCCAAATGGCCAGGAAAGGATTTCTTCTCAGCCTTGAATCTGCTATCAGTCTCTCCTGCAATCTGGCAGAGCACCTGAGAGCCTGGTTTCTTTTTCTTTGCTGTCTGAAAGCACTTCTCCAATCTATTTGCTGAGTCTTTCTCAGGCTCAGAGCCTTGGGAATTCTCTGGTAGCAATTCAGGCCCAGGGAACAGACCATCATCCCCAAACCCTCCAGGAACATTCCCATCAGAAAAGTCGCTTTGAACAGGAATCCCATTGTCATTCTCTGCATCCAGAGCAACCTCATCATTAGACACATGAACCTCATTGTCACTCCCAACATCCAAAGTACCCTGATCATTAGACACAGGCTGAACTCCAGCATCTTCTCTATAGAATTGTTTTTAGATCTGATACACTGAGAGAAAAAGCAGGGTATAAATAAACATAACAATAGATATGCCCTTCCTTTTGTATGGTGGTGATTTCTGTGGCCAGTGTGGCACATGGATGCATTCATTCTCCTTTTCAAGCACAACAATCAATTGCCATGTCCACACTTCACAGCAAAAGATGCTTGACTTGACCTTTGGAAACTGTAAGGGAGGGCTCTCTGGCATTCCAAGGAAAGCCACGTGCATGAAGACATCCATGTGCGCATGAGATATGGCTTGGCTGGAAGGATGCATCTTGCTAAACAGTTATGAAAGCCAAGAACTCCATGTTCTGCTCTGATCCTCCACTGCACATCTCCGCTCAAGCTTTTGGAGGTCTTTGGTTTTGCAAGAGCTTTGTAAGAACAGCCCCAAAATCTGTGCGTCTGTTTTTGGGGGCGGGACGGAGCCATTGCTGCTGCTCCATCTGTTTACCATCTCCGGCGCATAGGTTTAATCACAAGGCGGTCTCCGCACCATCTGCCCAGACTGCCTTGGAAAGCCATTAGGGTCCCTCTTTTGTTTTGGAGGGATCTGTGACAGAATAGTTTGAACACATTTAGCTTGTAAGCTTACTAGTCTTCTTTCAAAGTGGTGCCATGGCAAGGGGCTTTTGGGGAAAATATGGCTTTGAGATGACAAAGGGTCTCTGGAGCAGGTCAATGTCTGCACTTGCCACTTAATCCAGGATGAAACCAGTGATTTTGTGGTGTGGATGATGGCATTGCAAGTCCTGGATGCAGTTCAGGGCCTGAAAGGTGCAGAGGCCGGCCTTCAACCAGTTCCAGATTGACAGTATCAGTGGAAAATGTAGGTTTGTTTGGGTTGCTGTGAATATTTTGGGCTGCATGGCCATGCTCCAGCAGCATTGTCTCCTGATGTTTCACCTGCATCTGTGGGTGGCATCTTCAGAGGTTTCTTCAGAGGTCTATTGACAATGAGGCAAGTGGAGTGTACATATCCCTGTGGAATAATGTCCAGTGTGAGAGGAAGAACTTTTGTCTGTTTGAAGCAAGTGTGAATGAGCAAGCTTGATTATCACTGAGTAGCTTTGCAGCTGCAAAGTCAATCAGTGATGGTATTTGCATAGAGGTCACCTGGCCTCTGTTGCCTGGAGGAACCCTCTGCTTGAGATGTGTTCACTGGCCCTTGATTGTTTGGTGTCTGGAGTTCTCCTGCTTCTGAGCTT